ATAATTCTCCCCTCTAACTGCAACACACTGGCTTGTAAATCAGTTACAAGAATTTGGTGTTAGATTGCAATGACGACTTCTACCTGATAAGTTTGAACATTCCCATTATCTGTTTGCCAGATAATGTATGGATATTAAAGGAAAAAGTTTCATGTTAATCCCTTCTGGGAGATAAAAGGCTAACAATCATCCTAAATCAGTAAACAAATTGGTGTGTAGATATAATAATAGATAAATATCTTGTTTTTATGATGTAAAACCTCAAAAACTTTGCTACAGTGTAGTGGGGTGAAAATGAACTGATTTCAAGTTTTGTATCGGACTACACTATTTTTTTTAGAGTACTGCAATTGTAAACTGCAGCATTCCCACTCAGCAATTTCTCTTTTTTTTTTTGGTTAATTACATTTTTTGCATTTACGAGTCAAACAACGTTTATAAGTGTCTTTCCTTGTCCAATTGCATTTCCTTCCATTTTCCTTGCATTTTCCTTGCATTTGCTTTGCATTTTCCTATTCCTTCTGCTTGTATTTTGTAATGACTTGTAATTATTTTGTTCTTTATAGCAACCATGATCAACCACAATGTTAATAAATTTCAAGGCATTTGCAAGGTGAAACCTGAACTTCGTTGGCAGGCACATTGATCTTTAATTACAGAAGAGGGAACCTTGCAGAAAGGAAGAAAAATTGACAACATTGAACTAAAATCCTTAGCTGTAAATTAAGTGTACTCCTCTTTAAAAGGTGGAATATATCTTTCAAAAGTGGAAGCTGCACCAGCAAGTTAGAGCAAACCAATACAAATTCACCGCTGACTTGGGAACAAGTATCTGAAATTCCACAGTGGGAGTCAAGAGTTAAATCAATTCTCTTAACAATTAGTTTTGGTTGAAAATGAAGCATAGTATCATATTAAGCAGTTTGCAAGGAAAAATGCTATGAAAATAATGTTCTGGAATATTTCCTCTCCCTGCTTTGAAAATCTAAAATATCTCTCTGTTTGGAATACCACAATTTATCCAAATATTTTGAAAGTAATTTGAATGGAATTATAAAGACAGCTGCAGTATGTACAGTTTAACTTACTGGTGGAACCAATTCTAACTGCCTCTCCTTGGGTTCCATCAAGAGTTGTTCAGCTGTGATCTGAACTGGAGTTGGGGCCATATTCCTCACCTGAAAATATCAACAAGTGTCTTCAATGAATAACACCAAATTACAGCACCTTAAAAACTGGGGACACAAAAGAAAGCTTTATACACCAATGGTAGAAAATTTGAAAGCCAGCAATGACTGAAGCAGGCAAACTTGGTAATGTTTTGCATGATAGGAAGCAATTTCACAATCCATACATGCCAAATCTCCCGGATTATCCAGGAGTCTCCCAGATACAGAGCCAATCTCCTGCTCTCCCATATGGGTGACCAAAACTCCTCAATAAAAGGAAGTTTGGATCAGTTGCCCACAAAAAACTAAGATTTAGATCCATATGTTCCAAATTCCAAAATCATCTGCCTTCTTATCCTTGTATTACGGTTTCTGTCTTCATTTTCTTGTATGATGTATATTGTTTGTTTCAAACAAAAAGGAGTTTCTTCTTTGTTACTCCTATATAAGCAAGAGTCTGATAGGAGGAGTGTTCAACCAATGAAGTCCCTGGCAGATAGATCCACATTTTTCCTGTGAAATTGCTCAGCGTGCTCACTGTTACTCAAAGGCCCGCAGTCTGAATCTCAATCATGGGAGAGTAGGTGGTCCAAATCAAAAATGAAATTTTCCAGGGGGAAATGCATTAACAAATTCAGTTGGGACAGGGGGTGCTGTTCCTAAAAAAAAACCCTCGAGATTTGAGATCCCCAGAGGTTGGCATCTCCGTAATCATATCAGGCAAAAGCAAGCCAGATTTGACTGTTTGAGCTTGGGATAAATGTTTGCTAAAATATCCACTGAAATTCCCTGAAGCAGACACACTCAGCAACTTCTGGAAATTTTTAATAGCTGATAAGCTCATTGCTGCAGTGACTGGTGTTAACTAAAAT